TAATTTACTGTAATACATTTTTATCTAAACACACTAGATTTTTTGATCAATTCTTGTAAAACAAGAACAGAACTCTATAGCCTTAACATTTACACTCCATATGCATTACCTATCTCAAATAAGCACAACCATATGAGTAAGTAGGTCAGGTGGATATTGAGTGATAAAGCAAGAAAAGGAGACAAAAAGCAGGAGACAAAAAGCAGGAGGCGTGTCAAACATGAGGAACAGAGAAAGGGAGTTCACTAAGCTGAGTGAGTGGCAAAGCTTGGTGGCCTCTAAGCAAACCCCAGGAGACAAGAAGGCAAGCCTTGCAGAGACTACAGCAAGTGTTCTGAGAGGGTTCAGCAAGTGGGAAGGTGCAAGGTTCCCCTGCCTGACGTTCATGCAGAAGAGAACAAGTTCACAGTAACCAGTAGGGCATGAGAACACAGACAGTTAACAGGGGAATGAGGCTGAATAGGACTTGGCAAATCATTTCTAGAACTTTGTCTTTTAATCTTCAGAGAAATGAGATGCCATGAGAGGAATCTGAGCAAAGGAATGACCTCAGTTGTAAATGGTCTGTTCCTAGCACTGTGTGCAGACTAGACTCTGGGCTGGCAAGAACCTTAAGTTAAGGACCATTTACTTGAATCTGCATGTGCCACTGTGGAAACAAACATGTTCTCTGCTCTTATAGGGACTGCAATCCAAGGTACATGGAAGATAAAAACGTGGGCGCAGTTCTCAACAAAGTCAGGATGTTTTCAGGTAATATTCTAGGGAAAGTCAAGGAAGACATTCATGAGGAAGTGATAGAGAAGGAAAAACAGAATAAGAAAAAACCAGCCATGGAATGAAGGTCAGAGGAAAGGAAGAATAGAAGGAAGAACACATTCAAAAGGACCTACAGTTGAGATGTTGCCACATTCCTAGACCTGAAAGGAGTTCCACATATGAAGTATAGAAAGTAGGTAAGAGGCAAGATTAGAGAAGGAAGGCCCAGATGGCTGACATCCTTCCAAGGAGTTTGAACTGTATTTCAAAGACAATGGGAAACCTAAAACTGTTGTCCACAAGAGAATGTGATGACTAGCTTTCTACTTCAGAGGATTATTCTGATTACGTGAGGTACCCAGGCTATGGAAGGGGACAAGGGTGGGTTGCTGGGCAGCTCCTTAGGATGCTTGTTTCCATGGTTCACCAGTAAGATGCAGCTGACCTAAACTCAAATAGTGATGGGAGGGATTTGGAACATAAACTCAGCAGGTCTTTGGACATGAGAAATGAGAAAGCAGACTCAGGAGGTTGACCTAGTTTCTTAGCTGTACATGCAAGTAGAAAGTGGCACTACTCACTGAAGGAGCACAGCTGGAATGGGAAGGTTTGACAGCAGGGGTAGAATCTAGTCTGCAATGCCTGTGGGCTATCTCAAAACACTGCTCAGGAAATAATTGACTATGTAAATCTGCAGATCATTAAATTAGAAAGACTATTACAGATGGGATACTACCAACATATAGTCTAATGCCACAGGAAAGACTAAAATAAAACATGGAGAGGGAGAAAAAGAAATCAAAAAGAGCTTAGCTCTGGTTAAAACCAACATTAACCACGCAAGCAGTGGAGAAAGAAACCCCAAAAAGGAAGGGAAGAGAGAAGGATAGAGGGAAGACAGACAGACTGGTGAGATCATCCTAGAAAGAACAAGGGAGACAGATGTGGTGGTGTACACCTGTCATCTCAGCACTCAGGAGGCTGAAGCAGGAGGATCGTTTCCAGCCGAGACCAGCCAAGGCTACAAAGTGAGCTCAGGACCAGCCCGAACTGCAGAGAGAGACTCTGTATCAAAAAGACAAAAAAAAGAACAAGGGAGTCTGGGACAAAAGCAAACTATAGAACGTTCCCAAAAGTCACCAAAGGATAATCTTATCCTTGGCAAAGAGAATCAGTGGAATAAGTGCTTGCCTGGCAAGCACAAGGTCCTGAGTTCAATCCCTGGTACCACCAAAAAAAAAAAAGCAAATCATAAAAATAAAATGAGCTAACGGACAACAGTAACATAATACCTAAGTTTTAAAAGTAATAAATGTTGAAAGTATACATATTACGGACTACACATAAAAAGTGAAATCAAAGATAAAAATAGAAAAGATCAGCTAATCTAAAAAGCTGAAGCATAATTTTTGTCTGTTTTAAAAAATACAGCAAGTTGAACCTTGAATGATGAAACTCTATGATATGGAAGGCATAATGATTACATCACAGAGAAGTCAAAGGAAGAGTCTGTCTAAAGTGATTCGTGAGCAGTTACTCAAGGTATGCTGTTGGCATACCTCACATATCAGACCATACACACTCATTCAGAAAGTTATAGGGCACAGAGTGACTGAAAACAATTTTAAAAACCACATCTTTAGATATATAAAGTACAGAAATTTATGTGAATACTATCTATGCCATCCTTATCATATAATACCAAGACACATGGTACTGAACTTTCCAATTTCTTATTTGATTTTCAAATTTTTTTATTTTTATTTTTTGAGACAGGGTCTCACTATGCAGTTAAGGCTGGCCTTGGACTCACTATGTGGCCCAGGCTGGCCTTGAAGTCACAGCAATCCTCCTGACTCAGTGATTCTCCTGCCTCAGCCTCCCAAATGCTGTGAATATAGTGCCACCAGGCCAGGCTCTATAATTCTTTATTTGAAGAGGGGCATTGAGTGTTCTATTATATTTGGGGGGGGGGTCAAATTTAAAAATCAACACAATAAAAGGATTATACTTAAGATGAACCAGAAATTTCTGATTGTTTTCAACAAAGTAATAGGCTTTACAATAGGTGGAGGCAATTACCTCAGTAGGTAAGGCACACAACAGAAACACCCTACCACAATGATTTCTCTGTCCCACAAGTCAAAGTTTTTGCCAATTAACAGTATCGCTATTAAATCATATATGTTTGTCTTCTGGTTAAAAGCATATAAATTCATTATTTTAATACCCTGAGGAATGTAACTTATTTGTTTTTAAATTTTTTTAAAATGACAGTATCATAGAATATAATACTTATAATAAAACTATGCACAAAAATTAAGTGCAGTGTTCAATGACCTAAACATCAGTGCAAAGTATTCCAGCAGCAACTCCCCTTCCTTTACTAAAAAATATTCACAACACGTGATGTTCATCAGACATCAACTGGAGATAAATCCATATCACAAGTAAATAGAGGCTATCATCGTACAAGTTGCCCTCACTTCCTACCAGGTTTTAAAATGATTTTTGGAGAGCGAAGAACCCCTTCATTTCCATTTCCACAATGAAGCTAAGCAAAATAAAAAAGAGAATATTACAGTTTAATAGCAAATTCAAGCTTAGAATAAGCAAAATAAGACAATATTGTTTCTTCATTCCAAAACTAGAAACAAAATAGCCAAGCTAGCAGTAAGGTCCAAGTGAAAACTAATTTCACAGCCCTTAAAAAAATACAGAGCTGTCACTGTTAATAAAAGTCAAGTGTGCAACTAACAGGAAGCAGAGCTTCTCAGCCAAGGACAAAAAATGCCTAAATTCTGGTCTGGGGGCATCCTTTCAATGAGAAAAAATCAAACATTTGTTTTTGCAAATATAACTCAAATAGCACTCTAATTAAAACATTTACAAGACAAGGACAAATAAGGCTTTAGGACTACAGCACACATTATTATGTAACTGCAATACACATTAAGCAATCACCAGGTTGTAGGTAGACCTTCCAGGAGTCATTATGGTTTACCTTGATCAGAGGACTGCGGTGTTATACTTAATCACTGTTTTACCTGCAAGCAGGTGTTTACAGATGTCAAAAAGTAAAGTTCTGATTCTAAATGTACACTTACAGTTCTGTCTGATGAACTGTGTAGTTACAGCACTCCCAGTGCTGCCTGCACTACTTTCCATTTCAACATGAAGTAAACTGCACAAACCAAGTTTCTCTGCCAGCTCTGTGGGCCAAAATTTAACTTCAGATTCATCTTTACTAAAATGCCCAAACTAACACACTTAAAACGACACTTGCATCAAGGATAAAACATTTACCCAAAGACACCAAAGAAGCAGTAAGATAGAGAAGGCTCACTTGGGGATATTACTGTCATCTACTACATTTCAGTAAAAATCTGGGCATTCCAAAGACAAAATTTGAAAGATAATAATATTCATTACCTTTAACAAACTACAGAAGCTGCACTCAACAAAGTAAACTCACAGTGTATTTATTACAAAAATAAACTCCAAATCAAGAAAAAAAAAAAAGATTAAGATAGAAGAAAGCAGCAGGGTTTGTGGGTCCCATAATTCATGGATTTTCTATGATTCCGGTTCCGGTGGCTCAAAACAAAATTCAAAAACCCTGGAGTAAAATTATTTGGGCCTTTCTCAAGATGTTGGACTGAAGAGCAACCAAGCCACCTGCCTTTCCTTAGCAGGGTACAAAACTTGCGAACGGTGAAAGGAAAGGAATAAATAAAAGCACAGTAAAGGTAGGAGACTTTTCTGAGAGTTAGAATTGTAACTGCATTGCAAGACATTTTCACAGGATACGTCTAGGCTGTCCCTGGGGAGAATTTTTTCTTTAAAAGAACAATAAAAGAAAAGAAAGAGTGCAACCAGAAGTAGGCCCTCGCCTGCGCATCAGTGAGACTCAGTTCCAGCGGCAACGACCAGGCCAGCTGCGCTCTCCACCTTGGGAGGGCACAGTCTGTGAGCGCGCGCGCGTGCGCGCTCACACACACGCACACACACACACACACACACACACACACACACTGTACAATGGACCCCAGGTACTTAAGGGTGGGGACAGAAAAAAAAAATGGTTACCCAAGCTCCTGGAAACAAACATGGACTTGGCCTCACCCCGATCACTCTGGTGCCCCCACCAACCAGCTCCAAGACCCTCGTGAGGCCGAGTGGCAGCCTATCGGCCACTCGCTGGACACTCAAAGACACAAGCCACCGCCCTTCTGGCTTACCTCACAGGCGGGGGCCCCGCTGGCCTTGAGCTTGTCACCATCTCCGTCAGGCAGACCAGTCGGACGTGTGGCCATCATTTCATTCCAAACTGCAACGAAGGGACAAATCCTTTGGAGTCCACATTGGGGGTGGGGAGGAAATGCCACCACACACCAAAATGGGAAGAATTCCACACCAGGCTCCCAAAAGATGCTGGGCTGGTGAAATATTCCGCGTGCCAGGAATTAAGGCTTTTTTTTCTGGAAGCCCCTTCAAATGCCAACTTCAATTGGTTTCACTCTCCTCCTCCATTTCTACAGACTTTAAAAACAAAGGCGACAGGTCTCCTTGCGAGCTCGGGTCCTGGCCGACAGCAGAAACGGTCCCCTTCCAAGCTGCGTTACTCCCGAGGCCGAAAAGAATTAGAGTGGGTCGCTCCAGCGTCAGCTCCCAGAGTGATCGTCCTAGAACAGGCAGAAGTTAAAGGGCAGGAACTTTCTCCAGACGCAGGTCTTTAGGCTTGCCACATGTCGACGCCAAGTTCGCGCGTCCGGCAATCAGAAACACAATTGGGGAAAGACTGGGCTCCAAGGAGAGAGTAAGAAAAGGGGGCAGGCGGGAGGGAACTGCTCTGCGGTAGTGTCAAACACACCCGGCTGTTCAAGCAGCCTTCCAGAAAAAAAAAAAACATTCCCTGCTCAAGTGCACGCACTTTTAGGAATGCATTTCCCGGGCCGCAAGCGCAGGGGGAACGAGGTCGTTCTCCCGCCTCACCCGGACGCTAACACTAGAGGAAGCGCTCGCCCGCAGGGTTAAAATGGGATCGATACTTTCGGACGCCTCCTCGCTCCAGTCCACCTCCCCCAAAACAAACAAAAAGCCGGCCGGGTCGGTGAGCTCGC